TAAAGGAAGGGGCCATGGACGGTGCAAAATTGGAACAATGTCATACTATTTCTACTGAGCTCGATTCTCTTTATTTGTTGGAGGAGTCATATTGGTTTGCTCGTGCTCGGGCAAATGAGTTACGCGATGGGGATAGAAACACAAAATATTTCCATCATAAGGCTAGTCAACGGAAGGCAAAAAACCGAATTAGTGGGCTCTTTGATGATAATGGAGTGTGGAAAAACAAAAAAGTTGACATTGAAAAATTGATCGCTTCCTACTTTACCAAGCTATTTGCCACTAGCTCCCCAACTGGGTTTCAGGATGCAATGGGAGGCCTTAATACATTGGTGACAGATGAGATGAATTCTTTCCTGGACAAAGAACCGTCGGCAGAAGAGATAAAACATGCGTTATTCCAAATGCACCCTAATAAGGCGTCGGGCCCTGATGGTATGTACGCTTTATTTTTCCAGAAATTTTGGCATGTCATTGGGTCTGATATTATTGCTTATGTTCATAATTGGTGGAATGGGAATGTGGACTTGGCTGATATAAATAATACTTGCATTGTGCTCATTCCGAAATGTGATAAACCAACACTGATTTCGAAATTCAGACCTATAAGTTGTTGCAATGTTATTTATAAAATCATCTCTAAGGTGTTGGAAAATAAGTTGAAAAAATTTCTTGGTGATATTATATCCCCAAATCAGAGTGCTTTTGTCCCGCAGAGGCTTATTACTGATAATGCTATTGTAGCTTTTGAAATTTTTCATGCTATGAAAAGAGGTGGTGAAGGAAAGAATGGCAATGTAGCGTTAAAACTGGATATGAGCAAAGCATATGATAGGGTGGAATGGGTGTTTTTAGAACAGGTGATGACTAAGCTGGGGTTCTCGACTGCGTGGATTCATCGGATTATGTGTTGTCTTAAGAGTGTCTCTTTCGCTTTTAAGATAAATGGGCAGATTTCGGGGTCTGTGACTCCAACTAGAGGATTACGCCAGATCCTATTTCTCCGTACTTATTTCTGTTATGTGCGGATGCTTTTTCGACGCTTATTTCCAAAGCGGCCAACGGTAACTTAATTCATGGTGCCAGAATCTGTAGAAATGCTCCCAGGGTGTCACATTTATTTTTTGCAGATGATAGTATACTTTTTGCTAAGGCAAATGTGCAAGAATGCTCGGTTATAGATGATATTATCAGCAAATATGAGAGAGCTTTGGGTCAGAACGTCAATCTAAGCAAGACTGAAGTTGTGTTTAGCAAAAATGTAGATCTTGATCGAAGGTAGGAAATTATTCAGATTTTGGGTGTTAGAGAGGTTGAACGACATGAAAAGTACCTTGGTTTGCCTACTATCATTGGGAGATCGAAAAAGGCAATTTTTGCAGGGTTGAAGGAGAGAGTATGGAAAAAGTTGCAGGGATGGAAAGAGAAGCTATTGTCTAGACCGGGTAAAGAGGTGCTTATTAAGGCGGTGGCTCAGGCGATCCCGACTTATATGATGAGTATATTCAAACTCCCGGATGGTCTCATTGATGAAATTCACTCTATGTTCGCAAGATTTTGGTGGGGATCCACAGAGAACACAAGAAAGATGCATTGGCAACGATGGGAAAGCTTGTGTAAACCCAAGGCTCTTGGTGGGTTGGGGTTTAGGGATTTGAAATGCTTTAATCAAGCTTTGTTGGCAAAACAGTTGTGGAGGCTACACCATAATCCGGGCACTTTAATACACACAATTTTAAAGGCAAAGTATTTCAAGAATTGTGAGGTCCTCAAGGCTACTTGCGGCTTTGATCCAAGTTATGCTTGGAGGAGCATGTGGGGTGCTAGAGGTGTGCTGCTCGAAGGTCTTAAGTGGAGAGTGGGGAATGGGAGTGCTATAAGGGTGTGGGATGAAGCTTGGCTACCCGGGAACTCCTCGGCAATCGTTCCAACTCCGAGAGCTACTAGTGATATGGGCTTGAGAGTCAGCGATTTGATAGACCACAACTGCGGTGAGTGGGATATGAATATTATTGCTAGCAATTTTGACAGTGTAGATATTGAGAGAATTCTTAAAATTCCTCTATCTCCGAATAGCCCGGTGGATAAAATGTTTTGGTGGCCTTCGAATGATGGAGCATATACGGTAAGGTCTGGGTATTGGTTGTGCAAGAAAGTTCCTGCAGTATTGCAAGGGGTTGATATGAATGAGGTGTGGAGGTTAATTTGGTCGATGAAGTGTCCCCCGAAGCTACAACATTTTCTGTGGAGAGCTTGCAAAGGTTTTCTAGCTGTCAAAGAAAGGCTACATTATCGCCATATCACGCCAGAGAAGAGCTGCAGCATCTGTAATGCCTCGGAGGAGTCAATTAATCACGCAATTTTTGAATGCAAAGCAGCAACAGAGGTTTGGGCAGCTAGCCCATTGTTTTCCCAGGTTAGTGCAGCGCCATCTAATAGCTTTGTAGAACGCTTTTTGTGGTACTCAAAAAATGTGTCAAAGGATGAATTGTTGTCTATTGCTTCCCTTGCTTGGGCTGCTTGGCATTGTAGAAACAAATATATATTTGAGCAAGAGGCTTTTAATGCTGTGGATGTTGCGCGTGGTTGGGTGAAGTATGTGAAAGAGAGCTTGGAGTATGCTGTAAGGACTGGGATTAAATCAGCCCTCTGTTGCGTGTAATGCTGTGCGTGGTTGGAGTTGTCCTATGGCTGGAAGGGTGAAAGTAAATTGTGATACACATTTGGGTGTGAAGACTGGGTTGGGCGTGGTCATTAGAAGCGAGCAGGGCACAATTATTGCCGCAGCAGTGCGAGTTGTTGGAGCTGGCTGGGAGGTGGATGCTGCTGAGGCAGCAACGTGTAGGTATGGGCTCCAAGTGGCGAGAAGATTGGGATTCACTGATGTCCACCTCGAATCTGATGCTGCTCGTGTCGTGAACGATGTGAACTCGAGAGCTAAGGGCTTCTCTCCTATCTATCTTTTATATGATGATATTATTAGTTTGGCTTCGTATTTTAGTTCGTTTTGTTTTTCTCATGTAAAGCGTGCGGGTAACACCCTAGTTCATAGTGTTGCACGATGGGACACTAGAGATTGTAATGAACGTGTTTCTCTTAGTCCGTTTTCCCAAAGCTTAATATCTTTGGCGGAAATTGATCTTCTTTAATGTTATTTCGCAGCGTGTTTCAAAAAAAAAGTACTAATATTTCATAGGTACAAATTGAATTATAATTTTATCCACAAAATAATTAGATTTTAACTCTCAATAATTATCATATAAATTTATATTTTGTATTATAATATTTTGGAGCAAAAGAAGTAGTTAAAAACGTACCACATCCATTTATAATATATTATAATCCATTAAAATATAATATACTTCACAATCTAATATAATTTTATTACTGCCTTCAAAATTTATTTTTTGAAATGTAGACCTGTCAATCGGGTTGAGTTAAGATTCATTTCGATAGGGTCATTTCAGGTTACATGTCAAGAAATGTTCAACTTTAGCCCAAGGTTTTGGGTTGACCCAATAGGCTTAAAACAATTTATTTTTTTTAAGTTTATTTTTGCTATTTTTTAGAATTTTTTAATATTTTAGGCCTACTTTGCTATTTTTTGAATATATATAATTGAACATTTTCACTAATATTATTATTACTTATTAGTCATTACTTGTCTATTACATAATTTAAATAGTAAAAAAAAAAAAAACACATCAATTCCTAATTATTTTGGTATACATTTTAAAATTTGACATATAGATTAAAAATTTATCTTAAAATTTATTAAACAACCCGGACATCGCACGGGGCACAAAACTAGTTTATTATAAAAAGAAGTTAAAGTTATTCGGATCGTATTTAAAGTTACTCTTATATATTACAAAAGTTATAATTTTTTTATCCAAATTTTACCCTTATAAACACTTAGGAGTTAGGGCATGTTCTTATATGTTAAAACAATTCAGTGCAATTCAATTCAGCCCATTTCAGTTCAGCTCCTAATTTTCTTCTCTTATAAAATATTCAGTTCAGTTCAGTTCAGCTCCTAATTTTCTTCTCTTATAAAATATTCATTTCTGTTTAGTTCAGCTGAGTTCAGTCAATAAGAACAGGTCTTTAGTAGAAAGTCTATATCTATATCTATCTATACTTAGTATTTAAAAATACAAACCATCATCCTCATAGTGCCACATATAAATTATATTTTTCACCAATGCCATATGTCATTTCATTTAACCTTTCTCATATTAAAAAAAATACATTAGCTTTAATTCAATACACGAATAAATGTTTGGTTTACTTTCCCCCAACTAAATATCTTCTACAATTACATTCAATTTTCACCTCTTTTTATCTTTTATAAACTATTTATTTTCCAATAAAAAAATATGTTATAAAATTAAAAATTATATAATATATCTATAAACAATCCGTGCATTGCATGGGCCAAAAGACTAGTTACATATTAATATACAATCAAATCAATATTATTAAAAGGTACTATTAAAGAGATTAAAGACATAAAAATTATTAAAGTTATCTTTAAATGGACCGTCTAACAATAAATTAATGTAAACCCACTTTATACAAGACTTATTGTCCGGATATTTCTTCAAATTTCACCATTCTCTTTTTCACAGTTTAAGCATACTTCTTAGATGGAGGGAATATAATTCATTTGGAAATTTTCAAATAATTATGTAATATCAATGTCCATCACTTTTGTATGACAAACAAAAACTCCAAATGGTACAATTAAAAAAACTTCAAGTACAAAGCATAAAACGAGCAGCGTTGTGAATCTTGTCTTATGACCTTTAAGTTAGTGGCAATGCGAGAGTATAAATAGGTTAGTAACTTGATCTTGGAAAAATGAACTATGATAGGATAGTTTTTATTACTGCTGACTACAGATCACCGTTGTTGATACTCCGAATAAGCTTTCACCCGACTCACATTTCAACATCCAATCTAACCAAAATTATATAGTCGGTAACTTACTACTCGTATTTTAGAGGAAGTTGAAACCAAATGAATTTACTAGCAACACAGAGTGGAAGAACAATGCCATAGGCCATAGCACCTTCAGTATCCTAGACATAAACATGACAATCATAATCATATTGACCATAAAATCCATGTGAAATATTTAGTTAACAAGGTCTTGAAACCAGCTGTCATAAAAAAGAGAACTCAAATATCTAGACAGCCTAAAAATCCTACTTTGAATGCTTCAGATGAGCCTGGGTACGCCTGTAGCTGCCAGATTCCTGGGAAAAGGACCGCTAACAGAAAATCTGTCCCACTCCCAAAATACAGAAGCAAACAATTCCAAAGACGAAGAGACTGCTCAGTCTACGCCACAAACCACTATAATAGCAGGCCCAATCATGTGGCTGGGCTGCTTTCAACCTTATGCGCTCGACGCTTCAGTCTTCTCTGCAGCAGCTGCTCCCTCCAGCTTCTCATCTCCTTCTCTTTCAGCACCATCCTCTGGTTTTGACACTTCTGCCTCTGCATAGGAGAATGCAATAAAACTCCGTTAACAAGGGAACTGATACTTGTCTCTCCAGCTAGGTAACATTAAATCAAATGAGCAGAGCACAGACAAATAGATTAAGCATATGTATGAGCATGAAAAGTATTATCCCATAGTTCTCGTCTTTCTTCACAGGCAATGCTCAACATACAGATGACAGCAAATGCATCATAGCACCATCATATGGATTGAGTAGGTGAGGCATTCTCATAGATGTACATGTCCAGATCCCTTCAGAGTTCAGAGATTGACATATACTAAGTCCATCATATAATGATGTTACTTTGAATTTTCGCATTATTCACGAACTCCACTTACATCATTTTTTAAAATTTAAATGCAAAGCAACATATAGCATAGTGATGTGTTGTGTTTTTAAGATTCATCTAGATATATATCTTCAAAATTTCAACTTATTATAATTTTTATAAACTCACAATTAGATATATTAATGCTATAATAAACACTGGCAAGCATAAAAATGTAAAGTTTCATCTTTACAGAACATAGGTAGTAAACAACAGCTTAACAAGATGAAAAAACAACAAGAAAGAGAGTTAGACAGAAGATAATGGAGCTAAGATAACCCCATGATCGGTATTGTGATAATAATTCCTAGTGCTAGCTTTGTTGGGAACTTTATCAGCTCCGTCCAGTAAAAATACTTGCAAAGTGACTTTGATTTCACTGTTCAGCTTACAAGTTGAGAGCATTAAACTACAAACACGTACATATGGAAGAAAAGGAAGGAATCTGAGACAGATTTATAGTGTAATTTAATTGGTTTTAGAATATGAAAGAATAAAAGACAAGTTATTTTTTAAAAGGTTAAGTATAAAATTTTTGTATCCTCAATCTGAACACTTTGGTAGTCGAAGCAATAGCACAATACTACCAACATTGAAATAGTGGAGCACCAGACTGCCACAGCATAAAATCCAATAATAAAGAAACAATTGGTTCTCCTTTATAAAAAAAATAAAAATAAAAATAAAAAAAGAAAAGAAAAAGAAAAACAAAGACAACAATTGGTAATTGCCTGAATGCTTTGGGAATAAACATTCAAGTATGTGTCACATTCTTTTGCTAATTGCTTTGTTGTGTTGATAATACAAAATTACAAACCAGATCATGTTGCCCAACTTTCAACTTGAAGAGAAATAGGCAAAACATAGTAAGAAAAAAAGATATCTCTAATGCAACAACTCAAAGATTAAGTGCAAGAAGCATGAAGTAAATACTTATATATTGAAAGTGAGAGAAACAAGAAATTAAAGTAATCATAACATAGTATCAATATGCTTACCATCATCATCACTGTCTTCAAATTCATCACCACCACCACCACCAAGTCCACCAAGTCCACCAAGTGCACCACCCATATCTCCGAATTTCTGCAAATTTAAAATGAATCAGAAGCCAAAACAAACTGCAGGGGTATGAGTATTGTATAAAACAAAAACCATCCTTACCGAGAAGTCCATTCCACCAAGATCAAAGTCTCCCGGACCTGAGGAAGCAAAGACATGTTAGATAAGCTACAATCACCACATGAAGTTGTTAAGAAAATGAAGAAACCACACATACCAGCACCACCAGGTGCACCAGCACCAGCACCAGCATCATCATCTTCATCTGCCCACTTGTCCCAATCAACCTTCACGTAATGTGGAGGCTTACCCTCCCCACGCAGAAGCTTATTCCACCATTTTTTCTCTGCCTTCTCCAGAACACAGAATATGCTTCTTACTCCATAGCTAATTTTGCTTTCCTAAAATATTATATAAAAAAACAAATATATAAATAAATGATGAGCAGATCAAATTAAGGAAAGAAATGATTGCCCAAACATAATTATCTCCCAAATAAATAAATAGAACTCAATGAGCAAACAGAACCTAAATTGACCCAGTGACTCCAGGACATAGTTGCATATATCTAGTACTCTGAAGTTATGGTCAAAGAATGCAGCTGTCCCAATGTGAAATTTTACAAGAGGCAAATCTGGCTAAGTAAAGGGCACTACAACAACCTTCAAAGTTCAATTCAAAGAAGCACTAAAATAAACATGTGAATCTTGTGTTCTTCAATGGGCACTGACCTCACAATGTTGTAGGGCTATGAATTTTCTCACATCCATTGGGAAGATGCAAGTCCTAAGGACTAATTAGTAAAAAAAAAAAAAAAAAAAAAAAAAAAAAAAAAAAAAAAAAAGGGCCAAGAGAGTGTCACCATCACCATGTAAACATTGTGCAAATAGAAATATTGTGCAGAAAATATGCTTTAAAAAGGTACTCCCTCTGTTTTTCAATACTTGCTCCACTTTCCTTTTTCAGCCGTTTTTAAATACTTGCTCCATTTCCCTATTTGGCAATCTTTTACAATATTTAATTCATTTCTCTCACCTAGTGGACCCAACATAAACCATATTTTATTAATTTCATATTCTTTATCCTCCAATTATCTCAACTACTTTTGTTTTTTTATTCTTCCCCCTACCCTCCATATATTATTACTCTTTCCAATTTCTCGTAAAACTCCACGCATGGAGAAATGGAGCAAGTATTTAAAAACAAAGGGAGTAAGAGTCAACGCAATACAACAGATACATTGCCAGATTAACTCCGTTCACAACTACATACCAAGCCAATGTACACAAGAGCTAAAAAGACTATAAAAAAAAGCTTAACTAAATTAAAAAAATTAATTAAGACAAGCTAACTATAGTAACAATTGAGAAGAAATGCACACAACATTCTAGTAAGATAAGCCATGACCCTTAAAATTACCTCTACATCGACCTTGTCAAAAAGATCTAGTGTAAGTTCATAAGCATTATCACCAGCTCCACCGGTGGCAGAAAATGTAAAGGTTCCTTCAGGAGCTAGATTAACTTTCGGGTTTTTTGCATCAGGAAGCATCACAGTCAGGTACACTTTGTCTTCCCTCTCGGCCCATTTAACTTCAGGATGACGACTGCATAAAACAGGAATAAAAAGTGATTTAGCAGAAGTGCTACATCAGAAAAGATACAAGTTCAGACCACTTTCACGTTTAAACAATGTCAGCACACTGTAAGTTTAGAAAATTTTTAAACATGGCTCATACTTCTACATGCAACAAAAATTCACTACCTTAAGGAGGCATGAATTCAGTAAAATTCAAAAAAACCATTCTAATTCAGTTACTCAAACTGTTCTTGAATCACAAGTCTTTTTTTATTTGCTATCATATGAAAGAATTTGGCTGACAAACCTTAAATATCCTTCACTCTTATAAATTGTAACATCTTCATCATACCATTGCAGAATTTCATGGATATCACTAATGGTAGCATGAGTTAGTACGGTTCTTAATTTACTCAATCTACTTCTTTCATTTTTTAACAAGTAATTTTTTCTTGGAAGTTCATAACAAGTGCGACATCAATACTTTTGGAAAGATTTCTCTTTATCTCACTCGGGTCTCTCCTTATCACATGGGACCACCTTACAATATCTCTCTATCTCTCTTCTATCTCCCAAAAAAAAAAAAAAAACCTCACCTACATGTTGCATTTTTAAAATAAAATAAAATTGAGAAGCATCATTTTCATACAGGCAAAAAATGAGAATGTGGCTTATACAAGCCCAAGAAGCTAAAAAAACCCGCTGCATAATGTTACAAACACTGCAGAAAGCTACGCAGAACTAGGGTTTATGGAATTCATTTCTGATGAAATAAACATCTTAAAAATCAACCAGAAGTTTTTGTTCTAACGGATCAACAAAGCCAATTACAATACCTTCATAAAATAAGCGGAGTACCAGAGTTCAGTCCTAATACAAAAATCATAAGCTATACCTGTATACCTTAATCCAATAACCTGAAAACCTATTCCTCATACTCACAACTCAAAAAACTTAAAATACTAGACAGAAATTAGACAAGAACTTGTGCAAGTCATGCACTCAAATGAAAAAATGAATAATTCACAAAAGCAACCTTTAGCACACCCCTTCTTTGTTTGGCACCATACAAAAAAAGCGAAAGGTCAGTTGTGCACCTCTCCTACCTAGTCTATACTATACCAAAGTGTTACTTCACCAACCATTATTCGACAGAACTTACTGATAGAAAAGAAACAAATATCTTTCATTTATGGACTACAAGTTGACTTTCACTAACTTGCTAACCCTATAGACAGATAGGTTAAATAAAAATAAAATGACAAAACAGTATTCCGACAATGGCGCAAGAGCCACAAGACATAATCAATGTGGGCAAGTAATACTGCCTAAAACTCCGGGAGCCATTAAACAAAAACAAAGGGCTCCATCATATTGTAAATAACAAATGCTAACATAACGGATCCTCCAAGCACGACGAAACGTAGAGTCGAAAAACAAGGTTCACATATTTAATCCCTAATAATCATGGGAAGGATCACTACATATAAAATTAAAATCCGACAATCCCAAAGGTCCCGCCTTTCAACATTAAATTTATCATCTAACAATAAAAATTAATAACACAGCACAAACACGAGTTAATGTGCTAAAACAAAGAACCAGATATAACAACCCAGAAATGATAAACCCTAACCCCAACCAAGGTTTTCAAATTACAACAACAATAACCACAAAACACAAATTCTAAACACAATCAATTCAACAAGTTTTATAATTAGGGCAGATTTCAAGATTACAATGCCGAAATCGACATTGCTAAAAGCGATTCAAAAATGTTGATAAACCCTAAATAAAACCCGCCGCCATTTCTTCAAAATGGAAAAATCAAACACATAATTTAAACATAAAATAAAGAAAATTGAAGCACGAAATTGAGATTATGAAGATCGAAAAAGAGGAGAGAGAAAAGGAAGAATACCTCATTTTGTGGTTTAGGAGAGAGAAAGTAGAAAACCCTAGAAGAAGAGGTAAGAGAGAAATGAGAATGAGTTGGAATTGCAGAAGAAGCACAAAAGAAATGTGGTGATTTGTTTTAAAGTAGTAAGATGTCGAGTGAAATTACTGTTACAGTTGGAAATTGGAAACTCATCGGTCCAATTATACTTGACCATGGGTTGCTTCTTTTCTGCTTTGTTTAAGGCCCATCGATGTTACGATAAATTCTCATTGTGGCTCTGTATTTTTGTACTCCGTATAATTGTATTATAAGGTCCCGTTTAATTCATCTTATTTTTTATAAATTGAAATTATTTTTATTGAATTGAATTTTTTTTGATGAACTTATTAATTTAACTGACCTGAAATTAATTTTACTAAACTAAAATTACTTTTGCTGAACTAATTATTTTTACTGATTTTCTATTATATTTCTTCTTTGAATTTACTGATTTTTACTAAACTGAAATTATTTTTACCGAACTAAAATTATTTTTGCTGAATTGAACTTACTTTTGCTGAAATGAAATTATTTTTACTAAATATTTTTTTAGGTAAAGTGAACAGGGCCTAACACCCGAAAAATTCATTTTCTTCAAAATTTTCATTTTATTTATAGATTATTTAAATAAGAAAATCTAAAACATTATCGCTACCGTGACAACGGCTTAGGATTTTATTAAAATATACATAAAATTTTTTAAGCCATTTCAAAATCAAAATAAAACTTCAAACCAACTTTTTTTGAGGAGAAACTTCAAACCAACTTAAATCAAAATAACTTAAATTATTTTTTTGACGAAAAAAAAAACACAACCTTAAATACAAACTAGAATTGTAGTATAATAGTTCTAATTATCATACTAGTATATAAACACAAATATTGTAGCTCTCCACACAAAATCCCTTGACATGCTTCAAGCTTCTATACCTGAACATGCCTTAGACAATCTCAATTGCTTGTCATGAATGGACCATCACATGCAAGGCCAATATAAAGCATGCATCACCAAAACTGAGTACATACATCGCATAGAAATACACTAACATTATTTAACCTAATAACTCACCATTTTTACTTGTCGTCAACATAACTTTGTCTCATGTAAGGTTTAGGTTTGGGCCACACCAGTCATTAAGAAAGAAAGTTCACTTTACAAGACTAAAAGGTTTCATCCCAAATCTATATGACAATAGAAGGAGTAACCCCTTATCCTTATAAATTGTGTAACTCTTTTTTTTTACATATGTGTTTTTTTTTTTTTTTTTTTTTTTTTTTTTGTGGTGTTTAGAGAGCCTCAAGGCGGGAGTGAGAATCGATCCCATGATCTCCTAAAACCGAAAGGAAAGCTCCAACCTTACATGACCACTTATATATGTTCTTTTAGAAGTTTATACTTCAGCAGATGCTACAAATCGCTTCCTTATTATGGTTCCCTTTTTTTTTTTTTATTAGTGTTACTTGATTTATGTTGCTACAATAATTGAGTAGAATATGAGGTAATTTTTAACAAGTAGAAACAATAATGAACTAAAAACCAAAAAGGCCTTTCCTCCATAACTTCAACTAAATCTTTACAACTAAGCATGTAAAAGCTGTTTGTGATGAAAAATATCACGAGGCTTGTAACATACAAGTATGGTAGTAATGTTTGATTAGAATTCTCTATTTTAAGCTCCAAAAATTTGCGTCATTATATACATTTTCTCCAACTCCTACGTTCTTATATATGCAATAATGCATATTATTGCTAGTATATAGCTCTAACAGAAGATCTTTGGTTGTGCCAAAATACTTTACATATTGTAACATCTTCCAAAGAAATTACATCATTATATGTACACTTAAGCCTTACAAATTTTACATGTTCACGATTATTCATCAATTCAATATTTTTTTCTTTATTTGAACTTAACAAATACTCGTGATCGCACTATTCAAATAGGTTTCAATTGAAAAAAAATTATTTCGTTTTCTAAACCTTGAGTGGGTTGAGTATATTTTTGAGATACGGACTTGGTTGAATTAGACACATTTTGTTCTCCTTGATTGCCTAAGATATTTATATACAAAGGTATGTTTATATGCTTGATTATTTATGACATGCATTATTGTTAAAAGATATGTTTATATATTTATGAATTGTCACTTAAATATGATTTGAAAAGCTATTTGTTTATGGTATGCGTCATTTTACCATGCATTTATCACTTATTATTACAACTAATCATTTATTTTGCTCTTGTTTATATATATTGAAGATACAATATTGAATTGTTCATGCTTTTAATGAAAAAATGCATGTAGAAATCTAGAACATTGTAAGAAAATGAAACTTAAGTAACTTTTATGTTTCGTATATTAGTCATTTGGTTGTTTAAGGTGGTAATCGAGTCGTTTATCATTTTGATCACTTGATGAACCAAATGCCAAGTTTTTTTTTTTTAGCAAAAGAAAGTTAGAAACTGAAATATTAGGAAGACCTTTTTACGAGGGAATGATAGTGTATGTAAATTGGTGGTTGTCCAAATTTAACCTCTCTAGTCAGGAAATAAACTCCTACAAAATTTGAAAATTTATACTTTATATGTCCAAGTGAAATAATTTAATTAATCTTTATTTTAAAATTTACACTTATTTTATACGTTCGAGTAAAATTTTATAGTAAATTGTAAAAAAAATTATTATCATTAATAACATTGAATTATTATTTTAAGTTGCTTTTCTAACATTAATGATCGCTTTTTTTTTATTTATTTAATTCTTGACTATCATTAATTGACACGATTAATTAAACATCAAAACGACGAAATTCTGAAATTAAGACTGAATTGATCCAAGCCTTTCGTGCCGAAAAATCCTAATTCCCACATTTTAAAGTGTCGGAATACCTTCGATAGAAGCCTTAGACAATTAGGCCACAATTAGGTTATGACAACCTCAAATTTCTATAACAATGACGAACGACTACCCAAAAACTTCCAGAATTTGTAGGTTTTTTTACTAATGGTGGGGGATCGCCAGTGGGGGTAGGAAGCTTGGCGTAAATTAAAACCCACCAAACCCTTACTCGCTAAAACCCGCTCAAAAAGGGGTCGAGGTTTAGGGTCGTGGTGGGGGAAGGGGAGGAGGGTGTCCCAAGTCCGTGGGGGAAATCAGAGGTGGGTCTAGGTCTCGGGCTAGGGTCGGTCGGCGGGAGGCCAAAAAAAAACGATAGTCAAGGGTGGGCGGATGCCGGCAGTGGAGGGAGGGGGAGAGGGTGGCTAAGCTAATGGGGGAAGGGTGGTGATTTTTTTATTAAAAAATTATTAATTATTATAAAACTAATCAAGTTATTTTAATTAAAATAGGACTTTATTGCTTTCTCTTTATTTTTCTTTTTGGAAAATTTCTTTGATAATACCTAATTTCTTATTTTTACTTTCGTTTGTTCTTTAAAAAAAATGTAGTTATTTTTTTTTATATCTAATAAGATGAAGGGTCCTATTGGGTCGGAACTCCTCACGGGTCAACTCAGCCCGAGTTAGGGTATGTTCTCTTGCTTATTTTCAATTCAGTTCCTAATTTTCTTCTCTCATAAAATATTCGTTCAGTAGATGAGAACATGTCCTTAATAGGCTAGACAATTTGGAAGAGTGAGGGGAAGGTATTCTCTTTTTCACTATACCAAATTTAGCTTGTTAGGCCCTGTTCACTTCACCTTAAAAAAAATAATATTAAGTAAAAATAATTTCAGTTTAGTAAAAATAATTTCAGTTCAGTAAAAATAAGTTTGGTTCAGTAAATTTTAGTTTTCTTGAAGAAGAATTATAATAGAAAATCAGTAAAAATAATTTCATTTCAGCAAAAATAATTTTAGCTTGATCAGTAAAATTAATTTAATTTCAGTAAAAATAATTTAAGTTCAGCAAATATAATTTTGTTTTAGTAAAAACAATTTCATTTCAGTAAAAAAAGGTGAAGTGAACGAGACCTTACATAGTTATTATATTTGTTAACCGCAAATTTCAAAAAAAAAAAAAAAAACTTTTTAAGAAATTAGGTGTTCCCCGTTCTCTTCACCTTATTTTTGCTAAAATGAAATTTTTTATTGAAAATTTGAAACAAAATTATATTTGTTGAACTTAAATTATTTTTACAGAATTTAAATTAATTTTACAGATATGAAATTATTTTTACTGATTTTCTATTATAATTCTTCTTTTAGAAAGCTGAATTTTTTTGAACTAAACTTATTTTTACTCTGAAATTATTTTTATTGAACTGAAATTAATTTTACTAAATTGAACTTATTTTTTTATTAAATACTAGTTCATCTATTTCTTTTTAGTTGACACGTTTCTTTAATCACGTTTATCAATGCACTAATTCAACCGTTAATATCTTTAATTACCGATAGACAAAAATTATAAAAAGTTGATATTTTGAAAATATATATTGTGACGAATCTAACAAGACTCCGCTTGACTATATTTTTCGTCACGCATAAATCACAAACACGGTCAAAGGAAAATGGATGAATAATGCTAAAGTCAAAACGTGTCAACTGGTATTTTTTTTTTAAGCTGAAGAGAAAATTTTCTAAAAAGAAAAAATAGAGTAGGGAAAGGATGGAGAAGAAAACAACAAGGATGGTTAGGGACTTAGGGGTTGCAAGGTGACGGATGGAGGGAAGCTTCACTAAAACTCGGCGCCCGTAATTCCAAAGAATAGCATCGCCACCACAATCAGGGAAGTCGAAGAAGATGAATGATGCTTTTGATGAAGAAACTTGCTCAAGAAAAGAGCAATTGTTGAATGGGTTTTATAAATAATTACTACCCGTTAATGGTTATATGCAGATTTGGAATATTTTATTTCTCACAAATAATACCCAAAGTTGCAGATAACCATGGAGGTAGTATATCAGATTTAAGATAATTGAAAATTATTTTACGAGTAAAAATCATTTGAAAATTTTCAATTCTAAAATTATTTTATATGTTAAGCAAAATTTGTTAATGTGAAGAGTCTGAGTAACATAGATAATATTTTGTAAGTGTCAAGGGAGTTTTCTTTAGTGATATATACATGATAGTGTCACTTGATACACTTTCATCCAAGTAATTATGGGATTATTAATTCTTAAAGTTCTTGTTATCAATACCCAAAATGTTTTGTATACAACGGGTGTATTAGACATATAAAAAAAATATTAAAAAAAAAAACAATTTTTCTATCGTTAAGATGATTATGTAATAATTCACCCAATGTATACTAGTATGTTTTCTTTATCAGTTATTTTTTGGAATTTAAAAATTTCTAACATGGCATTGAAGTTTAGTAAATTCTCTTTACATGTATGATTTATTTCTTGTTTTACATGACAGGAAGTTGAAGACACCAAGAAAGTATAAAGGGTATAATCCTGCTAGCAATATTAAGAACAATGTCCTATGATTCTTGGATTACTTCCCTTTCATGTTCTAATCCAGTTGCGAAAGAAGATCATCTGTCTTCATCTGTATTACAGTGGGCTAAGTTCATCTTTCTTTCTCCATGTCCTCAAAGAGTTTTGCTTTCTTTTGCTGATGCCATTTTCTTGCTTGTGATCTTTGTTACCTTTCTACATCAGCTTATTCGTAAAGTCTTCTTAGGGAACTGTCATGATCCAAACAGACCGAGAACTGTAACAACTAGCACTAGTCGAGTTCAGGTTCAGACTGATATTTGGTATAAACTGTCCTACACTGTAACATTTTTATTAGTAGTTGTTCATTTAGTGGTTGCTGTCTTAGCCTTCAGTAGTAAAAGTAGTGAAGTTCAATGGAAGATGGTGGAGGGAACATTTGGGATTGTTCAAGTTGTAACATACGTGGTTATAGCAGGCATGATTGTCCTTGAGAGGAGGTCTGAAGCAACTGAACACCGATATTCACTCCAAGTGTTTTGGATTGCTAGCTTCTTGATCTATTCGTTATTCATGGTTTCAGGGCTAATACGTTTTATAAAGTTTGACCATGATGCTAGAGGGCCTGATTTGAGGTTGAATGATGTACTGTCTTTCGTGTCATTTGCATTATCAGTTGTTCTTCTTGTGGTTTGCATTAGGGGGTCAACAGGGATAACAGTCTTAAGACAAGAGGCTTATTTGATCGATGATGGAACTTCAGTTAATGAGCCGCTTTTAGAGAACTTGGTTGTTTCTGATTTTGCAAATGCTTCCTTAGTGTCTAAAGTCTTCTGGTTGTGGATGAACCCCTTGCTGAGTAAAGGTCACAAAAGGACTCTTAATGTTAACGACGTCCCATCTCTTTCACCTGAACACAGAGCTGAGAAAATGTATATGCTCTTTCAATCTAAATGGCCTAAGCCACATGAAGAATGCAAAAACCCGGTTAGAACCACCCTATTCAGATGCTTCTGGAGGGAAATAGCATTGACCGCCTTTTTAGCAGTTGTTAGAATTTGTGTCATGTATGTCGGTCCTTCTCTAATACACAAGTTTATTGATTTCACTTCGGGTGTAAGAAGTTCACCCTGCGAAGGATATTATTTAGTCCTCGTTCTTCTGCTTGCAAAGTTGGTAGAGGTCTTGACTTCACACCAATTTAACTTCAACTCTCAGAAGCTTGGGATGCTAATCCGTTCTGCCCTTATAACAAATTTATACAAGAAAGGACTAAAGCTATCATGCTCGGCGAGGCAGACTCATGGAGTTGGACAGATTGTAAATTACATGGCTGTTGATGCACAGCAACTCTCTGATATGATGTTGCAGCTTCATGCTGTTTGGTTAATGCCTTTGCAGATCTGTGTGACACTAATTCTCCTGTACAACTATATTGGTGCAGCTGTTATCACTGCATTAATTGGAATTTTAGGAGTTCTATTGTATATGCTGTTAGGCATGAAAAGAGACCGAATGTTTCAACTCAATGTGATGAATAACCGGGATTCAAGAATGAAGGCTACTATTGAAATGTTAAACTACATGCGAGTAATTAAATTTCAGGGGTGGGAAGAGCACTTCAACAAGCGCATCCAATCATACAGGGATTCAGAGTTTTATTGGTTAGCCAAGTTTCTCTACTCAGTCGCGACCAATATGGTAGTGTTGTGGTCCTTACCCTTAGTGGTATCATCCCTCACATTTGGCACTGCTATCATTTTGGGTGTTTCATTTGATGCAGCCACAGTATTCACAACAACCACACTTTTTAAGATGTTACAAGAGCCAATCAGGACTTTCCCACAGTCCATGGTTTCAATTTCACAAGCTGCTGTTTCACTGACGAGGCTGGACAATTTCATGACAAGTAGAGAATTGGTGGAAGAATCAGTGGAGCGAGTTGAGGGCTATAGTACTATAGCAATCGAGGTCACAGATGGGTTTTTTAGCTGGGATGATGAAGGTAGGGAAACAGTACTGAAAAACATAAATTTAAACATACAAAAAGGGCAGCTTGCCTCTATTGTTGGTACAGTTGGATCAGGAAAATCTTCACTACTTGCATCAATCCTTGGTGAAATGTACAGAACTAAAGGAAAGGTAAATTTGTTTTTTACGTCTTATATCTATGAAATACAAGATTTGATCTGTTTTGATGTTCAGGGAATTTCACAATGTATAGATTTAAGCAAAAATTCAAAGCACAAGAAATGTGGTTAATCAGTTGAATTTCTTTCCTGCAGGTCAGAGTTTGTGGGACAACCGCCTATGTAGCTCAGTCGTCTTGGATACAGAATGGAACAATTCAGGAAAATATCCTTTTTGGTTTGCCTATGAACCAAGTAAAGTATAGAGAAGTTCTGCAGGTTTGCTGCTTAGAGAAGGATCTGGAAATGATGGAGTTTGGTGATCAGACTGATATTGGAGAACGTGGCATCAACCTTAGTGGCGGGCAAAAGCAACGAATACAACTTGCTAGAGCTGTCTATCAAGACACTGATATATATCTGCTTGACGATGTCTTCAGTGCTGTTGATGCTCATACAGGATCACATATATTTAAGGTTTTGCATTCTTTGGGCTTAATAGTTACTTTTCTTCAGTCATAGTCATCTATGTTTCTTATTCCATCACTTAATTGTAATATATTATGTCAAAGAACTTCAGAACTACTATAGGTTACAAATGTTATTGTCAGAATCGAAAGCCAGAATTATAAGCTTTTACATTACAACATTTTTCTACAAAATCATTGATTTTTAGTGGTTCTTTATGTTCTGTCAATGTAACTTCGATACATTGGTCAAAATTTTAGTGGAGCCAACCTAATGTATCTAGTCCAATTTGCTGCAGTGAATTAAGATTTCCTACTACTCATCAGTATACCTTTTTTTTTTACCTATCAGCTTGTCTTTGATGAGGTAGATAATCTTATGATTTTTACTATAATTGAGGAACAAATACTATTATGATAAACAAGTTCATTACTATGAATTCTTAGCTTATTCTTTGATCAATTGCAGGAATGTGTAAGAGGAGCTCTTAGAAACAAAACAATTATACTTGTTACTCATCAAGTGGACTTTTTACATAATGTTGATCTCATCTTGGTGAGCCCTTCTTTTTGCATAAGGCGTCTCTTACAGTTCATGTTTTAGCTCAAATGGAAATGTTTGTTCCTTGAGCAGGTCATGCGAGATGGCACAATTGTTCAAGGAGGAAAATATGATAATCTTGTAAAAGCAGGCACAGATTTTCATGCCCTTGTAGCTGCTCATGAGACCTCTATGGAGCTTGTTGAAGCAGGCAGCACCAGTGAACTATCGAAAGATTCAACTCGACCTAAGAATTCTCCTAAAGCATTGTCTAGTCAAACAAGTGGGGAGGACTGTTCTGTAATTAGATCCAACTCAAAAAAGGGTGACTCTAGGCTGATCAAGGAAGAGGAAAGAGAAACCGGAAAAGTGAGTTTACATGTCTACAAAGTTTACTGCACAGAGGCTTTTGGATGGTGGGGTTTAGCTGCTGGTTTTTTGTTCTCTTTGTCTTGGCAATCATCTATAATGGCTGCTGATTATTGGCTGGCTTATGAAACCTCAGGAGAGCGCGCTTCATCTTTCAATCCTTCATTCTGTATTAGCATCTATTCAATCATAGGAGCTATTGCTATTATATTGGTCTTCTTTCGATCCTTTTTCATTATGTTCTTTGGGCTGAAGACAGCCCAGATATTCTTCTCCCGGAGTCTCCATAGTATTCTTCATGCTCCCATGTCATTCTTCGATGCTACTCCATCAGGGAGAATTTTAAGTCGGGTGAGCTTATTGATCCATACCTTTTCTTTTATTGATGGAGTTTTTATTATTTACAGTTATTCTGTTATACAATTTCCTAATATTTGGATGGATTATTTCCTGCTGAGTGTCAAATAATATGCTATTGGAAAGAAACATATCGCAAGCAGTTCTGATAAAAACAGCAAGCTGTTCTGATAAAAAAAACCTCCTGTCTTACAGGTTTCCAATGATCAGACCAATGTTGATGTGTCTGTACCTCTTTTTATCAACCTTGCACTGGCCATGTACATTACACTAGTAAGCATTATCATCATCACTTGTCAGTATGCTTGGCCAACCGTGTTCCTGTTGATTCCAATAGGGTGGCTTAATATGTGGTACCGGGTAAGCATACTTGCCTGTCCATGAATAAATCCTGTTTGTCATACTTTTGAGAAAAAGAAGGTGAAATTGTGACAATAGTATCTTGGTATGCAGGTAGTTTTGTTTATAGTACAACTGTGTTTAAAAGAAGTTATCTGTGTTTTATAGGATTATTATCTTGCAACATCACGTGAACTGACTCGCCTTGACTCAATCACAAAAGCACCTGTCATTCATCACTTCTCAGAAAGTATTTTGGGATTCATGACAATTCGCTGTTTCAGAAAGCAGGAAGACTTCATTCAGGAAAATGTCAAGAGGGTGAACATGAATCTTTGCATGGACTTTCACAACAATGGATCAAATGCATGGTTAGGTTTCCATTTAGAACTTCTTGGGAGCTTGCTCCTCTGCATATCAACATTATTTATGATCCTTCTTCCAAGCAGCATCATCAAACCAGGTTTCTTCTTCTAACTTTACTGATCAATTTCTCAATTTTGAACTTTGGCACGAATGCCATTTCTGCTCTTTATGTGTCTGATGCATAAAAAAGGGCGTTGTTCATTTTCTGCATGATTCAGAGAATGTTGGACTGTCACTATCATACGGGCTGTCTCTCAATTCTGTGCTGTTCTGGGCTATATACATGAGCTGCTTTGTGGAGAATAGAATGGTTTCCGTTGAGAGGATAAAACAATTTACTGAACTCCCTTCTGAAGCTACATGGAATTTCAATGATCGTCTCCCTCCACCAACTTGGCCAGCACAAGGAAATATTGAGCTTGAGAACTTACAGGTTTAAGCACAAATAACAGTTGAACAAAACAGAATGAAACACTTGTTGTCTATCTTGCTTTCATTACTTTTGTACTTTTCTTGCTTTAATTTTTTTGACAAAGTATTGTTTTTACAGGTTAGATATAGGATTAGTACTCCTCTTGTACTGAAGGGGATAACATTAGGCATTAGAGGAGGAGAAAAAGTCGGTGTGGTTGGGCGAACAGGAAGTGGAAAATCAACTCTGATTCAAGTTTTCTTTAGGCTCATTGAGCCCTGTGCTGGGAAAATTGTTATTGATGATATTAACATAACAAAAGTTGGACTACATGATCTTAGGTCTCGATTTGGGATTATCCCTCAAGAGCCTGTTCTTTTCGAAGGGACTGTAAGGAGCAACATTGACCCAACTAACCAGTACTCGGAAGATGATATTTGGAAGGTAAAACTCATTGAGAGGTGCAATAGGTTTTCCTTCAGAATTTTGCTAAGTTTTTTTTTTTATTATTTGTGTATTTCATCCAGAGTCTTGAACGATGCCAACTTAAAGATGTGGTTATTTCCAAACCCAAGAAACTTGATGCTCCTGGTAAAATATTTTTTGCTCTCCTACTGTTTGTGTCTTCATAGTAATGATAAACGAAGAAGTATTCATCCTTTCTTTTAAAACTTCAAAAAGTGGTTGATAGTGGAGATAATTGGAGTGTGGGGCAGAGACAGCTTCTGTGTTTAGGCCGAGTCTTGCTGAAGAAAAGCCGACTATTATTCATGGATGAGGCTACGGCGTCTGTTGACTCTCAAACTGATGCAGTGATTCAAAAGATCATAAGAGAAGACTTTTCTGCTTGTACAATTATCAGCATTGCTCATAGAATACCTACAGTTATGGAATGTGATAAAGTTCTTGTTATAGATGCAGGTATATATATTATATAGTTGGTTCTTTGGCCTTTCAAAAGTTTACTACAATTGCTTTAGCTTAACTTGTGCTATTTGTGAACAGGGAAAGCAAAGGAATTTGACTCCCCTTCACACTTACTTGCAAGGCCATCACTCTTTGGAGCATTGGTTCAAGAGTATGCCAATCGCTCATCCGGGTTCTGATATTCAGTCCTGATACATCCCAGGCTCTAATACTGATTCTAGTTTTGAGATACAGTTCGCTAAATTTCATGGTAAAGATTCAACAGCGTGGAACTGATATGGTAAAGTTTATTCAGGCGGAGAACGAGGGTAGGATGAACTAGTATGCTGTAGTAGCTAAATCTAGAAAGATCAACAAGGCTGCAATTATTCAGTTTATTTTTTTCAGAAATATAACAAAATAATAAAAGTTTTTTTGGAAGGCTTGGACCAGCACAATGACTTATCTCCTTAATAATCATATTCCATAGTCCAAATGAAAATGTGGATGCCAACTAGCTTAGTTGATTAAAGTTTTGAAGGACGATACCCAAAACCTAAGGTTGAGCTCCGTCTACAGCTTTGCCCTTGTGGGCTCTCTCAAATAGTCCAAATAACAATTAACCATTTGAAATGGCAATTGGAAATTTCCTCCCACTACTTTGGTAACCTCATTTATTTCTATATTCTTCTGATAATAATATTAAGTTTTATGCTGTTATTCATTCCACTGTTTTTACCCACTGTTGTTGCAGTGTTGTAATTTTGTGTTTAAAATATAACCAAATGAGAAATTCAAAAATAAGGCACATAAACTTTAAATTTGAATCAGAAGAGCATTTTATGGAGTAAATGGAGCTAGTCTGTTTGAAGCAAGTTTTCACAAAAAGAACATAATATATGTTATTTATCTCTTCCAATTAAGAATTTCTAATCTATTAATCTACCTAGTAATATGTATAACTGATCACCCAATCCCAAAAATCAGCAGCAGCTTAAAATGGCCGTGTGAGATGTTCAGCATCAGTAGTTATTGATCAAAACTGCTTCATGCTCAAGAACATCAGAAGACATATGCGACGTTATCTCAAAAGTCGGAACGGTAAACATTCATTTTCAGAGGATGAAGCTTCATTATCTCAATGATAATGCATGGCTGTAGTAGAGAGTTCAGACTGAAGACTACAGACCAGATGAGCGATTTGCATATTCTTGTACCAGTGCTCCGAAAATTGATGGCCTCTCTAGCAACCTTGCTGGTGAATCAAATTCTTTAGCTAATCCTGTCAGACATAATTTATTTTTCAGAGTTAATATTGTTTGAGCATACTTTATTGTAGTGAGGTACTGTTTTAGCCAAATGAGCTTAGAGTATTTACCTGCATCTACCACAAGAACTCTATCACAGTCCATAACTGTCGGTATCCTGTGAGCAATACTGATGATTGTACAGTCTGCAAAGTCTTCCCTGATGATCCTTTGAATCACTGCATCAGTTTGAGAATCTACAGAAGCAGTTGCCTCATCCATAAACAAAAGCCGGCTTTTCTTCAACATTACACGACCTAGGCATAGAAGTTGCCTTTGCCCTACACTCCAGTTGTCTCCATTATCGGCCACTGTTACATTGGTCCAAAAAAATGACATTTACTTCCCAGTTTAATTTTGCTTTTGATCAAAAAGCTTCTTGATATAAATGTAATATAAACACTATACCTGGAGCTTCAAGTTTTTTCGGGTTTGGAAGCCACTACATCTTTAAGTTGGCATCGTTCAAGGCTCTGTGAATAAGATAAAGAAACAAAAGTCAGAAAGATTTTAAAGAAGCAAGGAACATTTTTAGAGCAGCAGTTAGTTGATCTTACCTTCCAGATCTCTTCCTCTGAATATTGACCAATGGGGTCGATGTTGCTCCTCACAGTCCCCTCAAAAAGAACAGGTTCTTGAGGTATGATCCCAAATCGAGACCTAAGATCATGAAGGCCTAATGTTGAAATGTCAATACCATCAATGATAATTTTCCCGGCTGAAGGCTCAACAAGCCTAAAGAACACTTGAATAAGAGTCGATTTTCCACTTCCTGTTCGCCCAACAATGCCTATTTTCTCTCCTCCTCTAATGTTTAATGTTATTCCCTTCAGTACAAGAGGAGTGTTGGACCTATATCTAACCTGTAAACATAAGTTACCCTAGATTAGAAGAAAGAAAAGGAGCATCAAAATCAAGCTACAAATTGTATGTAGCTTGAAGATACAAGACATAGACATATAATTTTGAATTTTTCGTGTTCAGCATGTAAACTAGCTGACCTGCAAGTCCTTGAGTTCAACATTGCCTTGAGATGGCCAATTTGGAGGAGGAAGACGGTCCTTGATTTTCCATTCAGCTTCAGATGGGATTTCGGTGAATTGCTTTATTCTCTCAACAGAAACCATTCTATTTTCAACAAAGCAGCTGGTATACATAGCCCAGAACAGTACAGAGTTGAGGGACAGTCCATACGATAGTGACAAACCGACATTCTCTGAAAAACACGATTAGAGTTCAGCATCCCTATGTAGAATATGTATGGATTTCACCATGAAAAAAAAGTGAGAAAATGTGCCACAGAAGTTAGAAATAACCTGGTCGAATGATACTACTAGGCAACAGGATCATACATAAGGCTGATGAGCACAGGAGCAAGCTCCCGAGCAATTCCAAACGGAAGCCTAACCATTCATTTGATCCATTGTTGTGAAAATCCATGCGCAAGTTTGCATTCACCCGGTTCACATTTTCTTGAATAAATCTATCCTGTTTTCTGAAGCAACGTATTGTCATGAAGCCAGAAATACTTTCTGAGAAGTGATGGATGACTGGTGCTTTTGTGATTGAATCAAGGCGAGTTAATTCACGTGATGTTGCAAGATAATATCCCTGCAAATCAAACACATATTTCAGTACAGTATACAAGGTTACAAGGGTAGTAAGCAAGGTCAAGTAAGCAAGCTTTAGCCAACCAAGTCAAACATGAGTTAAGTCCTATTATACTGAAAAAGAGTGAAGATTATATATCCTGCTACCAGTGTTCTGACCATTACTTACAACCTTCTTAATTTTTAGCTTCCAGAAATACAATATAAAGATCAAAAGAGAGGCCAGTACTCTTACCCTGTACCACAAATTCAGCCACCCTAGCGGAATCAAGAGGAACACTGTTGGCCAGGCATACTGACAAGTGATAATGATGATGCTAAGCAGTGTTATGTACATTGCGATTGTAAGGTTCAAAACAAACGGCACTAAAATGTCAACATTGGTCTGATCGCTGGATGCCTGAAAGCAATAAGAAGTTCCAATCAGTACTCAGTATTACGCTACTTGGCAGTTGGCATAGAGTTAAGTATGAAAACAAAAAGTAAGGACAATTGAGCTATCTAAATACTATATAAATGATTATATGGGAAAAGAAAAGGATATGAAGGGGGGAAAAATAAACTGAAATAAAACTCACCCGACTTAGAATTCTTCCTGAAGGAGTAGTATCGAAAAATGACATGGGAGCATGAAGAATACTGTGGAGAATCCGAGAGAAGAAAATCTGAGCTGTCTTCAGCCCAAACAAAGTGATAAAGAAGGATCTTACTAGGACTAATACAACAGAAACCAGGGCAATGATAGTATAGATACTGATGAAGAAAGAAGGGTCGAAGTAAGGAGCATGCTTTTCAGAAGTTTCATAAGCCAGCCAGTAGTCACCAGCCATCACAGTAGCTTGCCACGACAAAGAACACACCAAAGCTGCAACTACGCCCCACCATCCAAAAGCCTCAGTGCAGTAATCCTTGTACACACGTAAACTGACTTTCCCAGTTTCCCTTTCTTCCTCTTTGATAAGCATAGCATCTCCCTTTTCTGATTTCTGTGTTGCATCTGATTTAGATCTTTGTAAAGAACTGCTCACGCCATTACCTTCGCAGTGAGTAGGTAATTCTCTAGGAGATTTCTGTTGTGTAGAATCTTCTAAAAGCTCAGTGTTACTGCCTGCTTCAACAAGTTCCATAGATGTATCATGGGCAGCTACAAGTGCATTAAAATCTGTGCCTGCTTCTAGAAGTTTGTCGTATTTTCCTGCTTGCACAATCATACCGTCTCTCATGACCTAGTCAGGCAACAAATTTTGTCATTACAAATTTGATAAAACTATAATATGGAGCATTGCAGACACCTGAAAAAAAATTTGATGCAAGGAAATGGCTCACCATGATGAGGTCAACGTTATGCAAAAAGTCCACTTGATGAGTCACAAGTATAATCGTTTTATCCTTCAGAGCTCCTCTTACACATTCCTGCAGTGGATCACAGAAAAGAACAGAATTATAGTGAAGAGCCGGAATCAGTTGTTTTTGAATCAAAAGAACGTCAAATAAGTAATTAAACCATGTTGAGTAAAGTAACAACAGCTCAATTATATACTGGTCTACAAAGGATTACTGCAAGACTCCCTTTCAGACAGTTTCAAACCTTGTACTCCGACTTGACTTAACAAGTAACCTCGAATGTTAAAGTAGGAAACAAACACACTTCAAGAAATATGATATCAAGTCAAAATATCACTAACCTTAAATATTTCTGATCCAGTATGAGCATCAACAGCACTAAAGACATCATCAAGAAGATAAATATCACAGTCCTGATAGACAGCTCTAGCAAGTTGTATCCGTTGCTTCTGACCACCACTGAGATTGATGCCACGTTCTCCAATCTCAGTCTGATCCCCAAATTCCATCATTTCCATATCCTTCTCTAAGCAGCAAACTCTCAAGACTTCCTTGTATTTCTCCCTGTCCATAGGTAAACCAAACAGGATGTTTTCCTCAATGGTTCCGTTCTGTATCCAAGATGTCTGTGCTACGTAAGCTGTAGTCCCACAAACTCTTACCTGCAGTAAGGAAATATAATCAGTTATACCATACATCCATATGCCTTCCAAAGTATATTGTTCGAGTAATGCAGTACTTTAGCTTTTATATACTGAAAGTAAAGCTACCCACACATAAATGCTTAACAAGTAATGCAAAGAGAGAAACACAAGATTAATGAATATACCTTTCCACTTATTTTGTGCATCTCACCGAGAATTGAGGCAAGCAAAGATGACTTTCCTGATCCAACAGTGCCAACAATAGCAGCAAGCTGCCCTTTCTTTATGTCTAAATTTATATTTTTCAGTGACTCCTCTCCACCATCATCATCCCAGCTAAAGACACCATCTTCAACCTGTATGGCTGTAACACCATCACATCCCTCAACTCGTTCCACCAACTCATCCGCAAGTTCCCTACTCATCATAAAATCATCAAGCCTTCTGAGTGAAATCATAGCCTGTGAAATTGAAATCATAGACTGAGGGAATGTCCTAATTGGCTCCTGCAACATCTTAAAGATTGTTGTAGTGGTGAAAACTTTCCCTGCATCAAGCGGGATTCCTAGAAGGATGCAGCTGCCAAATGTAACGCTGGATATCAAAATAGGCGTGGACCACATAACCACGATATTGCCTGCTATAGAGTAGAGGAACTTAGCTAGCCAACCATACTCAGCATCCCGAAATGATTGAATCCTGTGGTTGAAGTGCTCTTCCCAAGCTTGAAACTTGATCACTCGCATGTAGTTAAGCAT